ACTGCTACGACGCCCACTTCTGTTAGGGTCAGCACGTGCTGCACTGCAGCAGCAGCCGGCAGCAGCAGCTGCCACCTGCAGCAGCAACACGCACACAGATACAAAGAAAACACACATATCTTCTCCTAACCACTTCCGTCCCTGCCGCTGCTGCTGCTGCTGCTGCTGCCGCTGCTGCTGCTGCTGCTGTTGCTGCTGCTGTTGCTGCTGTTGATTTGGGCTTCATTCCGAGTGTCTTACCCCTTGACTGTCGCAGCAACCCGCACTGCCGGTTTTGGCGATGAAACAGCAGAATCTGGATTGCCGCTCCTGCTGCTGCTGCTGCTGCTGCTGCTGCTGCTGCTGCTCTTGCTGCTGGCGCCACGGACTGCGTGGCCTGGCATAACAATGAAGTCGCTCTCGTCGGTGCAGATGATGCAGCAGCAAATCATCTGCTGCGCAGCAGCAGCAAGGTCTGCTGCTGCAGCAAGTGGGGCCTCCCCAGCTGCTGCAGAAGCACTGCTTGGTGCTGCTGCTGCAGCAGCTGCTGCAGCAGCTGCTGCTACTGCATGCTCGTAATGAGCCAACATTGCCTCAGCTGTTTCTATGTCGAGGACCAGCGTGCATCGCTGCTGCTGCTGCTGCTGCTGCTGCTGCTGCTGCTTCCGCTGCTGCAAAAGCAGCTGCCAAACCGCAGCAGCTCGCGCCTGCGGTGTCTCAGCAGCACGTGCTTCTGCTGCAGCATCAGCAGGTTGCTGCTGCAGCGCCACCTGTGCAGGTAGAGGCAGCGGCGGTCTCTGCTGCCTCGTCAGCAGCAGGACGCTGGCTTGCTGCTGCAGCAGTGGCAGCACCGCTGCCAGCAGCAGCTTTGGCTTAACAAGAGCAGCAGCAGCAGCAGCTACAACGGCCTCGTGCCCTGGCAATACGTGCTGCAGCAGCTGCTCTCTGCTGCGCTGCAGCTGCTGCTGCACTGCTGCTGCCGGCAGCAGCACACTGCGCGGCTGCCCCCAGCAGCGGCTGGCCTCCAGCAGCAACCCCCACCCGTCGCTAGCCAGCAGGCTGCTGCAGCTTGTATTGCTGCTAGTGCTGCTGCTGCTGCTGCTGCTGCTGCTCTCAGCAGCAGCAAGCGCCTCCTTCACCTCTCGAGGGGGCCCCAAGGGGCCTCCCTCCGCTGTCCTTAGAGGGACCCACTTTGTCTGTATTGCCAGCCTGCGTGTGTATAGAGGCACCTGTCTCACAAAGAGTCGCGCTGCTGCTGCTGCTGCTGCTGCTGCTGCTGCTGCTGGTGTCGCTTGCTGCTGCTGCTGCTGCTGCTGCTGCTGCTGGGCAATGCATATGTCGGTTGCTACTGGAGTCCTCGCCCCGCAGATACAAACATGAATCCCCAGCTGCTCACACAGAGCAGCAGCAGCAGCAGCAAGCGCCGGGTGTACTAGCAGCAGCTGCGGCCTCGACTGAGCCAGCTGCTGCTGCAGCAGCCGCAAGGATTTGCTGCTGCAGATCGTGCTGCTGCTGCATGCATTTGTCTTTGTAATAAATACTTCTCCCCCCGCATCTTCGACTGCTGCTGCCAGCGGCATCACTACTGCTGCACTTGCTGCAGCTACGCCTCCTGCTGCTGCTGCTGCAGCTGCTGCTGTATCTGCAGCAACAGCAGCATCAGCAAACGGCAGAGGCACCGCCACGCCCCCTACTGCAGCAACAGCAGCAACTGCAGCAAAAGACAAGGGGGACGGAGGCAGCAACAAACTAACGCGAAGCCCTACACTATGCTCCTGCTGCTGCTTCTCCTCCTTTTGCTGCTGCTGCTGCTGCTGCTGCTGCTCAGCCAGGAGCTGCTGCTGCTGCTGCTGCTGTTCCTGCACTCCCTGCTGCACGGCGATGCCATAGTAATCGCATGCCTCGAGGATTTGGCTAGCTAAAGACCTGCAGCAGCAGCAGCAAAAAGAGCAGCAGCAGCAGCAGCAAGAGCAGCAGCAGCAGCAGCAGCAACATGAGCAGCACTAGCAGACGCAACAGCAGCTCTACCCAGCAGCCGCATCCTAATTAACTCGCACCAGCAACACAAATTACAGCAGCAACTGACGCAGCAGCAACAGCAACAGCTGCAGCACAAAGCTGCTGCTTACTGCTGCATCTGCTGCAGATACACCGCGTTGGTTGAGACTCCATCGGCTTGAATGGCTGGAAGATCCTCGCCAGAATGCTGCAGCAGCAGCAGCAGCAGAAGCAGCAGCAGCAGCAGCAGCAGAAGCACAGTACCAGCACCAGCAATATGAACGAGCAAGGCTTCACGTCAGGCTGCAGCAGCAGCTACCCAGGCAACAGCAGCAGCAGCAGCTGCAACTAAAGACATGCATCACCGCCTACCTGCTTAAAGAGAGTGGTGATGCTCCTCCTTGCCCCCCTGAAGTTGCTGCTGCTGCTGCTGCTGCTGCTGCTGGTGGTACAGCTGCTGCAGTTCAAGCAGCGACAGCCGCGGCTGCAGCAGCACATGGAGCCAGTATTTTCTCTAGGGGCCCATCTCCCCCTGCAGCTAACACCCTCTGCTGCAGCAGCATAAGACCAACAAGCTGCTGCAGGTGCTGCTGCTGATGCAGCTGCTGTGGCTGCTGCTGCCGCTTCCCTTGCACCTGCATGTTGCTGCTGCAGCAAGTGGGGTCGACGCGGGGGCAGAGCCCTGCGCCTGAAGGCTGAGGCTGTAGAGATACTTCGCAGCATGGGTGCTGCTGCGGCTGCTGCTGCGGTTGCTGCTGCAGCTGCTGCTGCGGCTGTTGCTGCTGCTGCTGCTGCTGCTGCT